TATAACAGATCCTAACCATTAAAAGTCAAGCTGTACTATCTCTTTTAGGTTTAGTGTCCGCATATAGGCAAAGGGGAAATCAGTAATCAAGCTCTAGAAGAAGACGATTACACAGTATCTAATCAATGTGGAAGATTGCAGCGAAAGCATTAGAATATTGTAGAGTTATGTAGTGATGTCTGTATTGCATCAAACACTGTATTGCATCATGTCTGTATTGCATCAAATTCGAAGAAGAATGTTTAACACCCATTTTACTAATTTAAATGAGAAATATATCCTTTTTCTATTGTGATTAAAAAAATTCCTTCTCTTTCTTAGCTGAAAAACCCCAAAATTTTCATTGGGTTCTAAGGGCAACCCCATCAATGAACCTTGAGGGGGGGGGGGAGTTCACAACTTTTTATTTTTTTTAATTTTTTTTATTATTTCGTTTGATTTTTCTTAAATATATATATATATATAAGTGGACCAATCGCAGACCGCCACGTGGTATTGGGCTCGCGAAATAGTCAAGAACCAGATTCACCATAGAGCACCTTTGCGAGATAGGTTCAAAATTAAAGTGGGATCGGCAATTATTTTTAAATTTTATTTTCTGGGAATGTGTGAGAGTTTGTGGGTGTGAACCCTTAATGGAGATGGCCNATATATATATATATATAAGTGGACCAATCGCAGACCGCCACGTGGTATTGGGCTCGCGAAATAGTCAAGAACCAGATTCACCATAGAGCACCTTTGCGAGATAGGTTCAAAATTAAAGTGGGATCGGCAATTATTTTTAAATTTTATTTTCTGGGAATGTGTGAGAGTTTGTGGGTGTGAACCCTTAATGGAGATGGCCTTAAAGTCATTGCTTACTAGGCATGCGAGCTCGGTTAACCGAACCAGTTTTTTGGTTTTTGGTTAACCGTTAATTTGTAAAAATATTTCCGAAGTAAACCGAATCAAAATATATATTTATGCTCATAATGTTTGTATCTTTAATCAGTCTTACCACTTACGTTAATCAAGTATAACAGATCCTAACCATTAAAAGTCAAGCTGTACTATCTCTTTTAGGTTTAGTGTCCGCATATAGGCAAAGGGGAAATCAGTAATCAAGCTCTAGAAGAAGACGATTACACAGTATCTAATCAATGTGGAAGATTGCAGCGAAAGCATTAGAATATTGTAGAGTTATGTAGTGATGTCTGTATTGCATCAAACACTG